CCTCGGAGGCCCTCATGGACATAATCGAGAAAATGGTCTCGATATCCGGCGACCCCTCCCAGAGGTTGGGGGCATACATGCTGGAAGGTCTCCGGGCTCGACTTTTATCCTCCGGGAGCATAATCTACAAAAAGCTTAAATGCAAGGAGCCGACCAGCTCCGAACTGATGTCCTACATGCACGTGATCTACCAAATCTGCCCTTACTACAAATTCGCCTACATCTCCTCCAACGCGATTATAAGTGAGGCCATGGAGAACGAGAGAAGAATCCACATCATCGACTTCCAGATCGCCCAGGGCAGCCAGTGGGTCTCCTTGATCCAGGCCCTCGCGCGTCGGCCCGGCGGGCCCCCGTTTGTTCGGATCACCGGCGTGGATGACTCTGATTCGGCCCACGCCCGCGGAGGCGGTCTCGAGCTGGTTGGCCGGCGGCTGTCCCAGGTGGCAGAATCGTGTGGGGTCCCATTTGTGTTCCATGGGTCGGCCATGTCGGGCTGCGAGGTCCAGCTCGAGAACCTCAACGTCCAGCACGAAGAGGCCCTAGCTGTGAACTTCCCGTACGTGCTGCACCACATGCCGGACGAGAGCGTGAGCACCACGAACCACCGGGACCGGCTGCTGAGGCTCGTGAAGGGGCTCTCGCCGAAAGTGGTGACGCTCGTGGAGCAGGAGTCCAACACCAACACGTCCACCTTCTTCCAGCGGTTCTGCGAGACGCTCGACTATTACACAGCTATGTTCGAGTCGATTGATGATGCGGCACGCGCGCGGGACGACGGGACGAGGATCAGCGCGGAGGAGCACTGCGTGGCGAAGGATGTGGTCAACATCATATCATGCGAGGGGGTTGACCGAGTCGAGAGGCACGAGCTCTTTGGGAAATGGAGGCTGAGGCTCGCAATGGCGGGATTCGCTCCGGTACAGCTCGGCCCGTCGATCGGGCCTGCGATTAGGGACATGTTGAAGGAGTACAGCTCGAATTATGGTCTGGCGGAGGCCAACGGAGCACTGTATCTCGGGTGGAAGAACCGGGCTTTGGCGACGTGTTCGGCGTGGAGATAATTGTTTTATAATTGTTACTGAATAAATGAGGAATTTTTTATGATAGGGGTGGCGTTTTATTGTGAAGGTATTGGTTTTTATTATCATCTGGGGGTTATTTTACTTGTAAAGTAAATCTGCCGCTGGCTTTTTACCCCCTTTGAGTTAGTATCGTGTGCATCTGCATTGGGAACACTTTTGACTTGTAAGATACAGTTGTAATAGACTCCCGTGGGTTTGTAATACAGGATTTTGTAGTCGTGTTGCAAAGGTCATCGTGGAGTTTGTTCAGCATGCAGGATTCCAAGAAAGGAATGAGACTAGCCATGTCGAAAACCGATTCGGGGTTTGATTCGGGTCAAATGGTTGTAGGTCCTGAACCAGGCGAACATATGCACTGACAGGTTCGGTAAACCAGGAGTTTCGAGCCAAGTTAAAAAAGATTAAAAAAAAAAAAAATTAAGAAACCAAAAACAAAATAG